TTTCTCTTTTCAAGTCTCTCTCTCTCTCTCTCTCTCTCTCTCTCTCTCTCTCTCTCTACCTGATGATTCATTTATTAGGTATTATCTCTGGCAAGATGTCACTTTACAAACTTGAAAGAATGTTCCCTAGTGATACTTACCATAAGGTTATAAGATACTACCCTGTAACTGTAGGTAAAATTGATATCAAATTACAAGAAATATTAAGCCCTATTTCTGTTCTTATTCTTCCTCTGAAAGATTGGTATTTATTTCTGGCACTAAATATGACTGCATAAAATATAATTCAAAATTTCACATGTCCTCTCTTGCTTTTCTTAACTTGTATAACATTTAGTACATAAGGGGTATTTGCTTCTTTTTTTTTTAACACTTAAATCAGTTTAGTTAATTGACGCTACATGGTATTTGAATAAAACTTGGTTTATTTAATATACTTAAATTTCTGTTATTGCTGTAAAAATATGAGACACAGTATTTACATAGATAGCTAAAATCCAGAGAGCTTGCCTGCTGAGTGGCGTCTAGTTAACATTAAAGCTTACAGCTGACTAAACTGCAAACATAAGCCAGCAACAGTGGGAAACCATGAGTTCAATAATCGAAGAGATGTATTAATCCTGTAACTCTGAAAATGATGCTAGAGGGCAAAGACAGGCAGAATAGGTGGTTAGTAAGATGGAACAGAACAGGCAAGTTGAAGTTAAGGCACCTGGTGTACGAGTCAAATAATAATAATAATAATAATAATAATAATAATAATAATTTACCATCAACCTGCAGGATGAACTACAATGACAACACAAATCTCTGCATTCAAAACTAAGTTACAAATCCAGAGAACCACTAATGATAGAACCTAATGCTCCTCTCCACATTTCCACTGAGATTATACTAAAGAAATATAAAAGGGGTCTGTGCATAAGTAAAACAAGTTCTGTTAGGAAATGATAGCAATTTAGAGGTTTGCAATCCTTGGTGACAGGAGTCAGAGGTGACTGGTTTAAACTATGGGTTGCAGAGATGATTATATAACCACAGATATTTGTTAAAATGGATCAGATTGTGACTTAAATAACTGCTTTGTATGTCATACAAATGATATGTCAATACAGGTATTAAATCATAAACATTATTGAAACAGCACAGGCATACAGGTAGGTGTACCAAGTGAAGGTAACCATGAGCAGTCGCAGCAAATATCTGTGCCACCCAGGCATCCCAACTGTGCCCATTCCTAGGCAGTAATTTCTCTTCCCTTAACATGTTCACTATCCCCACCTCTAACACTTGATTAGCTTGGAACTTGCTATGGAGACAGATTGAACTCCATCTCACTGAGATCCACCTGCCTCTGCCTCCCGAGTGCTGGGATTAAAGGTGCACTCGTTGCCAGATTTTGAGGTGTCTATAAACAGATTCATACTACCAAGTCTCTTAAAACCGGTTTCTTTTTGCAGCATTGTTTTTGGAATTCATCCATATTGCCTCCTATCCATTGTTAACATAGTATTCCACTATTTTTCGTTATATAAATAGACCAAATTTTGGATCCATCGTACAGTCATTTGAACTATTAAGAAAAGTTCTTTTCTGAATAACCTCTATGTGCATTTTATGTGCATCTCTGATAGAGATTTTTAAAGATATTTTATTACTAAATAGGTATAATTTCAACTTTAGTAGACTGTGTTAAACAGGTTTTCAGTGTGTTTATCCCAAATCAAACTCCAAGATCTTTTGCATTTTTTACCGTGATTTTAGTGTAATCTTTGCAAGTGTGAAGAGAAACATTCGACTTCAATTTTGATGGATACCTTTTGCATACCCTGTATATCTGTATGGGACTTCTTTTGTCCCACTTTCTGGTCAGCATCTGGTATAATCAGTCTCTGTTTGATTTTATTTATGATTTTAATTTTCTGTGTATGAGTGTATTGACTGCATGTGTGTAAGTGCACCCTTGTCATGCAATGCTCACAGAGGTCAGAAGAAAACGTCAGGTTCCTCCGGAACTGGAGTTACAGTTAGCTGCCGTGTGTGCTGGGAATCGAACCCAGTCCTCTGAAAGAGCGGCCCGCACTTCTAACCTCTGAGCCATCTCTCGAGCCCCATAAGTCTCTAATTTCATCTGTTGTAGGGATTTTAATTCTTGTCCATTTGATTTCGTATTTTCTGAAGACAACTATGATGAAGCCTTTCTCCTTGGCACATCAGTCATTTCGAGAGGCTGTGTGAGAAGTAGATGCTCATGTCCTCTCGTTTTCAATTTGGTTATCTCTCACAGAAGCAGAGTGGCTGTTTCTGCATTCTGGATATGTATCGCCAATATCTTCCCCCACTCGGTGGCAGGTGGCATGCTTTTCACTCTGTCAGCGTCATGGTTTAGTAAACAGAAGTAGTTAATATTTCAGTCAAATGCAGTTGCCACTTGAATTTGGGTACAGTCGAGGAATCTTTGTTATCTGAAGATCTGACCCTTATATACACCTGATGGAAGATGGAGTCAAAGCCTCACATTTCCTTCATAATGATTCACCAATCAGGGCAATTTCCTGGAATTAAGATATACAAAGCAATCATTTCAAGTACTTTTTAATAAAATGTCCTTTTTTTGGTCATCTTTTGTGTCAAAAAGAAAACCCTAACATTTACTGAGTTACTTTTTTATATGGATCTCTTTGTTAGAAATTTTGCTGGTGTGAATTTTTTTATGTAGGTACAAGCCATCAACAACTATAGAAAGTTGATGTCATTATGATTCATTTTACAGGTGAGGAAACTGAGGAGGACTGGGAGACAGTGATTCTCTGAAATGGCAGAGCTTGTAAGTGCCAGGCATTCCAGCTCTGCTCCAAAGCCCCTTCAGATTCCAGCTTGTAGGGAATGTGCTTGTGTTGCTAATTATCATGAACGAGCAAAATAACGGCTACATTTAAGAATTCATTTCTCTGTTTCAGATAAAGGAAGACCAATGCCTAAAAAAACAGCAGAAGGTGGAAGAGAAAAACGCTCTTCCTACAAACTACCTCAGGAGTACGATGTTGAGACCGTTGTGGTGGCAGACGCAGCGATGGTTTCCTACCATGGGACAGATGCAGCCAGGAGATTCATACTCACCATCTTAAATATGGTACGCTAACTTTAAAACACACTTGGAGTTTTTTCACGAAAGCTCTAGGGAAGAAATGTGTCTATAAGAGCCCTTTGTTTTGTGCTGCTCAGAATTGACCCCAGGCCTCATGAAGTTTTTTTAAAAATTATCTCATTATTATTCCTTTCCTCTATTGACATCAATAAACATATTGATTTGGTATCTTAGGTATACCAGTTTAATTCATCTCCAAAACGATAGCAAAAACATCTTTCGGATTGTCCGGATTCTTTTGTAAACCCTGTGTTGTAAAGTTTGATGTGACAAAACCCTGCTTTCCTGTCCCACACCTTCTTCCTCTGTCCCTCTCTCCTGATTCTGCCTTTATTTTCTGTCTTTCAAAAGACTATTGTTGGTATCACTAGCAATATTACAGTATTGGATTAATGTGTGGGTCCACTGAAAGCATCAGAGACTGATTCTAATATAGAATTAAATGAATTTTTTAGCCCTCTTAAGTACATATTTCATTTTAAATGCCAAGTATGACTCTACTTGATGAGTAAAACCTAACAGTTATTAGGTAAAATTCTAAAAGGCTAATTCTGAGGGAGCTAGATTTGATGGCCAATTTCTGGAATGCAGAAGTACAGTTTTTATCTAGTATGTTAGGAATGCTTATTACCACAGTAATACTTTGATATAGTTACATGATCCACTAGGTAAACCTTCTTCAAAGAATGAGAAAATGTAATGAAGAGTGAGTAATTTTTATGGAAAGAAAAACAGAACTATGAACTGAGACAGATATTCATTTGTAATTCCAATTGCCATAAAGGGAAGGTCAGAACTGAAAATTAAATATATTTAATTACATATATTGAGTATTAGATATATTGCCAATTTTACTGCTTTACTGTCACTTGTGTGTGTGTGTGTGTGTGTGTGTGTGTGAGAGAGAGAGAGAGAGAGAGAGAGAGAGAGGGAGAGAGAGAGAAGAGAGAGAGAGAGAGAGAGAGAGAGAGAGAGAGAGAGAGAGAGAGAGAGAGAGAGAGAGAGAGAGAGAGAGAGAGAGAGAGAGAGAGAGAGAGAGAGAGAGAGAGAGAGAGAGAGAGAGAGAGAGAGAGAGAGAGAGAGAGAGAGAGAGAGAGAGAGAGAGAGAGAGAGAGAGAGAGAGAGAGAGAGAGAGAGAGAGAGAGAGAGAGAGAGAGAGAGAGAGAGAGAGAGAGAGTGAGTTTATCATACTTTGGACTTCTTTTCATCTTCATCTGTGTCCTGAGTCTCCGACTTCACTGGCACTTGGTCTGGGCCACATTGACAGGCTGACATTATTCTCTCCCCTGTATTAACATCTGTGGAAACATAATACGGCTGTCAGATACATATCTTCTCACACAAGTTAAGTAAATGTTAAGTTTAAAAATCAAAAATTCCCAACAAAAATAAGGTATCTATTAAAATTAGAGTTGTGTTTTTTTCTAGGTTTTTTGTTTTCTTTGGTTTTGGTTTTGGTATTTTGAGACAGGCTCTCCCTCTAGCTTGGGATGGACTGGAGCTCACTAGATAGGCCAGGCTGGCCTCCAGCTCACAGAGCTCCCCTTCTCTGCCTCTGAAATGCTGCAATTAAAGCGTGTGTCACCATTCTTGGCTGCTCTCCAGTTTTAAAAACATTTTTATTACATTATTTATTTACGTGTGTGTGTGTGTGTGTGTGTGTGTGTGTGTGTGTGTGTCTGTATGAGCAAATGTGACATGGCATGCATGTGGAAGCCCAAGGACAGGTTTTGTTCTCTCTTCACATAATGAGTTCTGGGTTTTGAACTCATGTCATCAGGTTAGGCAACAAACATCTTTACCTAGTGAGCCATCTTGCAAACCCTAGTTTCCAGTTTTTTTGTTTTTTTTTTTTTAACTTAATGTGTGTGAGTATATTGCCTATATGTGTAAGTGCACCCATATCATGAAATGCCCATGGAGGTCAGAAGAGGGCATTGGATCCCCTGGAACTTAAGTTACAGATGGACAGTTGTTGGCCGTCATGTGGGTTCTGGAATAGAATTTGGGTCCTCTGCAAGAGCAGCCAGTGCTCTTAACTGACAAGTTATCTCTCCAGCCCCTGCTTTCCAGTTTTTAAAAATACATGCATACACATAAAATAAAAATAAATAAAAAATTTTTAAAAAAATAAGATTTTTAAACTAAATTGATCTGTCTTCCATGTTTGGTCTTGAACAAAAATTACCATGTTTTTCTGGTTTAATATTAGGATTTTTATTTTTATTTGCTTTAGGTTTTTAACCTTTTCCAACACAAGAGTCTGGGTGTGCAGGTCAATCTTCGTGTGATAAAGCTTATTCTGCTCCACGAAACTCCAGTAAGCAAGTTTTAAGTTTTTATTCAATTAAATGGGTGACAAATTGTGTGGAACTTTTAAGTGAAGGGAATGTCAGGGATATACTTTTATTGACTTAAAATCCAAAAATATCCCCTGAGTCACTTAAAGTATACATAAAACTGGCCTTTAGTTTGAGTTAATGCCTCAATTTTATTTGAAAAATGGAATGTTCTTAGTTTCCAAGGATCCTAACAACAAACCTTAACTTTCCAAAAGTAATTTTAAGTTATTTTAAAACACAACTTTATTATATTATTTAAACATATGTGTTGACGGTATTATCTATATTGCATTTGAAATGGTGAGAAGTCAGAGGCGTCACTTGACTAATTAAAAAGCATTAATTAAAAAGCACTTCAGAGAAACTCTGTTCATAAATTGGAGAATAATCTAGTATCCAAGCCCCAGAGTTCCACATGTTCAAACGTTCCATTTCACCTTTTTGCTTTTTCACGGTAGCTTTAAGCAGACTTCATAATTATTATACCCTTACATTTCAAGATTTTTTTTTTTAGCTCAGGCTAAATTAAGCCCAATTGACTTCTAGGTTCTAATTAATGTTATGTTCAGCAGTCCGCATTAGCAATATGGAGCATTCCCTTAAGCTGTATGTATGTATTTATTAAATACCTATTTTGGCATGTCTAAGAATAATCTGCCTGGAGAAACCCATCTTCTTTTGTAGGCAGACCTATATATTGGGCACCATGGAGAAAAAATGCTAGAGAGTTTTTGTAAGTGGCAGCATGAGGAATTTGGCAGAAAGAATGACATACACTTAGAGATGTCCACAAGCTGGGGCGAAGACACGACCGCAGTGGATGCGGCTATCCTCATAACAAGGTAAATTTCCCAAGCCAGGTAAGCTGTCTTCCTAATTCACCATCTCTGATGTTCATCCCATTAATCTTTCATGCATTGTTTTGTGCCTGATTTTATGTTAAGAAACTTTTGAGCATAGCAATTTTAGTCATCTCTCTCAGTTTTTAATGATGGATTTCTTAGCAGCTAAATGTTGGCCGTATGTTGATGTTACTTTTTTTAGTTAAGTAAAAAAAAATAAAATCACCCTCAACTTTTGATATCAAAGGTGTATCAACTGATTTGATCACAGTAACTTAAAACTAAGGTGAATTGTGGTAGAAATGAAAAGGTTTAAGGCTATACTATATGTTTTCCAATTGTGACTACATTAAATAACTTCATTAGTAAAATTCAATGATGGAAATTTTTTCTGGATTCACTGTGAAGAGACTTTCAACTGTCTTTACCTAATTAACCATGAGCAGTCTTGTCCATGTTTTGAGAAGGTGAAATACTGAGCAACAATGTAATTCCTGTAAAAGTACCCTTGGCGATTTCCCATGAATTTGTTTTACTACTAAGCAAGTGCTACAAAAATGAATGAGAATTCGTTGTGTGCCAGCAATTTAATTTTAACTAATCAAAAAGCATCAAAATTTCCTATCACAGAAGTTATAGCCACATAACACAATTTGTCTGATGTAAATCTATTCAATTAATGATAGATTTTTACTCATATTCAATTTTAATAATAAATTATTCATAAAAATGTCTATGAAAGAACACAGCGGAATTCTAATTTTGGCTGTGTATGTATAACTGATGCTGAACTTCTTTAATAAACAGCCTTAAAACTGGAAAACATTTAGGTGGTAACTGTAGTCATTGGAGAATAAGCCCCCCCAAAAGAAAATATGTTAGGGAAGCCCCACATTAACCAGCTTTTGCCTGGGTACAATTTCTTGACCGATATAGCAGCTAGCACCTAAGTGGAACACCAGGATCTTCCTGACAACACCGGAGGTAAGCATCCCATGCAGGAAAAGGTGCCGGAGTGTGGGCTGTGCTCTTCACCTGTGAGAAGGTGATCAGATGGGTCTGTACACCTACAGATTGAGTGTTCCAAATCCGCTATTGCTATGCAGTTCAGCGTTAACAAGATGCTTGCAACTGGGTAGATTCAGGCTGCATGTATGTGGCGATTTTGTGATACCGTTTCATCACTCTCAACATTTATCGAAGAAAACCAGAAAGGCTGAGTGGCGTCATCATGAGAACACAGAGAAATGGCAGTCCTCACAAAATTTGAAGGTGTGGCTCAACAAGATGTTAAGGGAGACTGAGCCCTTCCTCTTTACAAGGGGTGGGCTTCCGATAGACCCTGCATACCAAAACCAAAGAAACAAAAGCAATGTAAATGAAACAGAAACAATACAAACAAACCTCAGATTTCTCAAATTGAATCACCAGTAATTGAAGCTTCATAAAACAAGAGCAAAACTCTTCAGATGAAAATATTAACTACCAACATTTATGAAACTATCAAACACTAATAAACTTTTATATATATATATAATTTAGATATTGCATTTATCAGATTGATGTAATTAAAATCACAGAATGCACAGAGAGTGTCTAAACATTAATGCGTATGTATACCTGGGAGCTGCTTGGTAGGGAATGCAGTGCCAGATAGAAGTGACCTCCCTTAAAGTGATAAGCATGCCATACAGCACTCATCAAAGAAGCTTCTTTTTGCAACAGATGGAGGCTACTGCAGAGTTGCGCATCTGGTCAGGCACAGAGAACACACACCTGGGAGATGCCCAGTACTAGGTGACACATCTGCAGTTGAATTTCTACAACCAAGGCTTATGGAACATAGTGAAATAAGGGGTAGAGAGAGGGCTAATGCACCCCTCAACTTTCAGCAGAGAGGCTTCCATGTACTTCAGAGTGTGATACACGTAGAAGGACACCACTGGCCAGGCTTTGGACAGTAAGAGACTGTAGAGTGTAGGATGGGACTCCTATGTGGACTCTCACCACTCACAGCTCAGGGACCATTGCAGAAGAGGAGGCGGAAAGGTTGTAAGAGTTAGGTTCATGACATAAGGAAGTGGATGCTTCCAGGTCTCTGAAGGCTTACTCATGTGAGCCTCTGGCAGTGGTGGCAACAGTGGTATCGAACGCAGGACTCATGTCAGCTCAATTAAACAAGGGCCCAAAGGGCCCAAAGAGGAGTTGAGAAATAGGTGGCGGGCCAGCATTAGATCCAGAACTATTTGAGACTGGTTGCTGCTGGGTGAGGGAGAGTATGGCTTACGCATGACCACTGGATGAGGTGACTAGACTCCAGTGGGCACATTTACACTGAAGGGCATTTGGGTACAAACACCTGAATGAAAGTTGTATGAAATTTTAAAAGCTTAGTAAAAATAAAATAAAATCACAGAGGAGAGAGAATGGGTAACAAAAATTATTTGAAGAATGGCAAAAAAAAAAAGTTCCTAAAATTAAATGAAAACAACAGATAAATAAGTTGGTGCATCATAGAAAATTTGTTATAAATCAAAGGTAAAGAATAATTAATTTAGATAATCCAGAGAAAAGAAATGAATTACTCACAGGCAACAATGTTAAAGTTAATGATTTCATATCTGGAAAACAAATCACAAGATAGTGCAGCAATAGTTTCAATATATTATGAGATCAAGGGTAGAAACAGCCAAAAATTCTTAACAAAATTAGTAAAAGTACTCCCTAGAAGTGTGTGTAGAAGAAATATCTAGAGCTGATATCACACTTAAGGCTGAAATCCTAAAGCTTTGTTCTACAGGCTTAAAGGTAACATGATACTGTCCACTCTTAAGCCTGTTCACTGTTGAAGATTGTGCAAAGGAGAGGTGTAACTACTCTGAATGAAGGAAAATGTCTTTATTAGATGATATGACTTTGTACAAAGAAAATTCCAGGAAGCCTTACAAAAATGCCATCATATCTAACAACATTTTCAAAAGCACATGATGTAAAGTGCATTTAAAAAAATTAATTTATAGGGCTGGAGAGATGGCTCAAAGGTTAAGAGCACTGGCTGCTCTTGCAGAGGACCAGGTCCAGTTCGCAGCACCCACATGGTGACTAACAATGGTCTGTAACTCCAGTTCCAGGGAATCTGGCACACTTGTCTGACCTCCATGGGCACTGCACAACATGGGTGCATTTACATACATGCAGGCAATATATTCATACACACAAAAAATAATAAATTTTTTTAAAATTTACATTATTATATACTCTAAATGAACAATTGATTTTTTAAAAATTACCCTAACTTCCAAGTCCACAAAATACTTCTTAAAAAATTTTAAAATAAGTGTATACCTTTAAATGAAAACTTGACTATAATCCTACTAGAAATTAAAAATTTAAATTCCCTGATTGCAATTCTAAAAATAAAATGGCATACTTTCTTCAAATTAGCTTATAGTCATTATTATCCTGTATCACAAATCTCTGTGGGCCTTTAAAAATATTCTTATTTGTTCTTTGAGAATTTCATACAATGTCTTTTGATCATGCCAGACTCCCTCCCTTCACAGATTCAACCCCACCTCCCCATCCCCACTTCATGTCCTCTATTATTTTTGAAAGCTCTATGAAGCCCAGTTTGCATTCTACAAATACTTTGGTACAGGCCCACACCCTGCAGCATGGTCAGCTTAGTCACTGTCACACCATTAAAGAAAACTCTCTCTCTCCCCACCCCCATCATTTATGAGTTGCCAGTAGCACCTCACCTAGGTGTGGGTCTTCTTGCCCACCTCTTTCCTCCTTGCTGGGATTTTGTCTAGCTTGAGCTTGAGCAAGCCTTCTGCCTGGTTTCACAAGTGTTGTGAGTTCCTATATGCAGCTTCCCTGCTGTGTTTGGAAAACCATTTTCTTGCAGTCATTCACCACCTCTGGCTCTCACAGTCTTTCAGCTCTCTCTCCTTCAATGTTTGCCAAGACTTGAGAGATGAAGGTGTGGTACAGATGTCCCATTTAGGGCTAAGAACTCTGCAGTCTCTCCTGCATGTTGACTGTGCATCTCTGTGTTAATCACTATCTGCTGGTGTGGCTTGAAGGCATGCAGTAATCTGGATATAACAAGAAGTCATCAGGTGTCTGTTTAATACTACATGCATTTAAACAGAATGATAGTACTAGGTTCTTCCCTGTGACTTGAGACCTGCCTAGCCACAGGTTCTTGACTCTGGTAACAGTGCCAGGTATGGGCTCTGTCTTGTGATGTGGACCTTGAATCCAATCTGAAACTGTTTGGTTACTCCCATAACATTTGTGTTACTGTGACACCAGTGGGCATATCTTACCAGGTCAGTCATTATCGTGGGTCTCAGGGTTCACAGCTGGGTAAGCTTTATGACTTTTTCCTGCTTGTAGTATGCATAGTACCTTCCACTGTTACGAAAGCTAGCCAGTAGAGATGAAGTTTTGAGGTCAGTACCAGCTTGATTTGTCCAGGTTTGTTCTATGACTCATGTATGTAGTGTCTTCAGCAGTATCTTATAGTCAGTCAAGTTCTGGTGGGCAACTAAGAGCAATAATTGTAGCCAGTACTGTCTGAAGGTCTGTGTGACCATCCCTTCCTCCTAACTTGGTCAAGAACCGAAAAAGAAGGAGCCCATTCCTGTCACTGACCTTTAAATTGTTAACCTGTGGTGACTGGTAGGGGCATTGTCCCTTAGTTATGAGGAGCGCCATTCAAACTCTTCATATGCATATATATTTAAAGAAACTTCTACAGTAGTAGGTTTCCTATGGCTTTTTCAAAAGGCCTTTAGTGCTCCTTAGTTTTCCCCATACTCCCTCCTCTATCTGCACACAGATGTCTCTGTCCATTTAACCCTTTCTCTTCCAGTATCCCCCTTTCTTCGTCCCATGAAGTGCCCTCCAATGGCCTGTTACTAGTTTCCACTGTAGGTCTTTCAGAGAATTCAAACAACCTAGAAGAACCAATAACTTCTGAAAATAAAAAT